AAGGCAGCTGCTTAACCAACTGAGCCACCCAGGCGTCCCTCGTCTTTCTTTTTTTAAGATTTTTTTAAAATTTATTTGAGGGGCGCCTGGGTGGCTCAGTGGATTAGGCTGCTGCCTTCGGCTCAGGTCATGATCTCAGGGTCCTGGGATCGGGCCCCGCATCGGGCTCTCTGCTTGTCAGGAAGCCTGCTTCCCCCTCTCTCTCTGCCTGACTCTCTGCCTACTTGTGATGTCTCTGTCAAATAAATAAATAAAATATTTTTTAAAAAATTTATTTGATACAGAGAGAGAGAGAGAGCACAAGTGGGGTAACAGCAGGCAGAGAAAGAGGAAGAAGCAAGATGAATTCCCACTGAGAAAGGACCCTAATGTAGGGCTCGATCCCAGGACCCTGGGATCGTGACCTGAGGCTACCACAGATACTTAACCAACTGAGCCACCCAGGTGCCCCAGGCCAGGTCGTCTTAAAACTACTGTGGTTCTTCCCACCGCAATTGAAATAAAATCCAAACTCCTTCCTGAGACTTGTGGGCTCTGCACAGTCCTGGTTCCAACCTGTCTGCAAACTGAACTCAGGACTTTATGTCTCTGGCTCTGCTTTCTTCCAGGTCTTTCCCACCTCTGGGACTCTGAAAGTGCCGTGTTCTCTACATCTGACTTCCCACAGCATGCTATGCCTTTTCTTAGAGCTTTTCTCACAATGTATTCTTAGTTTTTGCTACTTGCTTTCTCTTCCTCTATGAGCTTGAGAGCAGGGACTATGTCGGCACCCAGCTGGGTGTCCCCCGCACAGTAAGTGTCTGAAAAATATTTGCTGAGTTAACAAAAAGGCGGCCCTCCATCCCTCCATCCAGCTCCCCCACCAACCTTTTTTCCTGATGGTTCCCGCACCAAGTCACCCCCATCTCCTCATTCCTGAGTCCCACTGCCCACAACTCTCTCCGTTATCTGCTCTCAGAACTCCCCACCTCAGAAGTCCCACTAATGCATCCATTTACCTGTCCACCCTTCACTTACTCCCATCTCTCAGCCGTTACCCGCACCCCCCGCCCCCGCTCTCCTCTTACCCCTTACATTCCATAAACCACGAAACTGCCTTTCACCATAGACCTCCCCACCCACAAACTCCCCTTAGGCCCATTCCTCTCGCCCCAGGACGGCTCCTTACAACCCATCACCCGCCGCTTAGCCCCATAAACCCTTCAATCCGTCGCGTTTTAACCTCCTAAATCCCCTAGGCTTCAGAACCCCGCCTTCAGTCCTCCCAGTGCCCCCACATCTCCCCTCCCCGCTCCCCGCCTCTCACCCCTCACCCTCCTCACCCCTCGGGCTCCCTCCCAGCCGACTTGGCCCTGGCCCCTGGGCCCGCCCCCTTCTCTGCCGCGACTTTGGGTGGCCCCCCGCCCCCGTCGAGCCCGCGCAGCACCTGGCCTGCGCCTCCTCCAGGCTCTGGTCGGTGATGGCCATAATCTGCTGCAGGACCTCGCCTGTGTCGGGGCCCGGAGGGGGCCCGGGCGGCGGGCGGCGCGGGGCCGGCGGAGGCGGCGCGGGGCGCTGTGGGCGCGGCGGGGAGTCCATGGGCGGCGGGGCCGGGGAGGCGCGGAGGGAGATCCGCCTGTCCTGGAGCACTCACAAGGGCGCCGCAGCCAACCACCGCCACCCGCGGGCTGCGCGCGCGCGCCCCGAGCCCCACCCCTCGCCGCCGCCTCCAGCCAACCGCCGCCAGCCAGGAGGCCGAGTCCCGCCCACGGACACGCCCCACCGTCTCCGCCAGCCAACTGCTGCCGCCTGGGCCGCCGCGCCCCGCCCACGGACACGCCCCTAACGGCCCCTCTCAACGGCCCAGGACTCGGTGGCGAGTTGCCGAGGCAACAGCTCTTCGCACCTTCAACCACCTTTTTCCACTCGCATACCTCCGCCTCCCTCACCTGCTCCGAGCAAGGATTCCTGCTTAGAGACCTTAATCCTTCTTCAGGCCCCTCACGTCTCCTCAGAGCCGCCGCACCTCCTCAGAGAGGTCCCGCGTGTCCTGAGAGACTCTCAAGCCTCCTCAGAGAACCGCCCCCATCTCCTCAGCGCCCTCGACTTTTCACCGTAGCACCCACTTCTCCTGAGCCCCCATGCCTCCTTAGAGCCTTCACTCCTCACAGGTCCCCATTCTTCCTCAACGACCCCATATCCAGATCCCCCCACCTCCTCAGGAACCCACACATCTCTTCCAAATCCCCACTTCTCAGGTACCCCACTTTTCCCTTAAGCCACCCTTTCCTTCTCAGAAATCCCTGATTCTCAGATCCCCACCAACACCCACCATTCATCTCCAGAAGCCCTGAGTCCCAAACCCCTCCTCAGTCCCCTAATGGTCCCCTCAGTTTAAGCCCCATCAGATGTATCTCTAGGTCTCCCAGCCTACTGGTTCTTCCTCCTTGGAGTTTTCCACGAGGGGTGTAGAAGTGTGAGGTGATGGTGGCTGAGTGATTTTCTCAGCTGCGCAAATCAATTCTCCTTTCAAATTGACCTTGGGTTTATTCATTCTCTCCATCTACTGCAATCAGGTCTTAGAATACCCACTACTGAAGGATGCTTCCTGAGGGTCTCCTCTGAGGCGTATCCCCAGTAAGAGCGAATCTCCACAGGTCTTTGTTCCTAGCCATTAGAACTATGGCATCTGACAAGGATCGTCATGTGAGAGAAAGGGAACGGACTGGACATGAATCACTTCAAAGTCATTGGGACTTGCTGGAGCCTCTTTGCTCTGAGGGCAGATTCCAGATGCAGCCTCATAAAGGCTCCTCAGCCTCTCTGGGACCACTTCAGGGCAGGGCCCATCTTCCCATTGCTGCTGGAGAGGAAACTCAAAACATCTGGTGTGATTGGATTGGAGGACTCCAAAAAAGGCAGCAGAGAATGGAAATGAGTGATGTGGGTCAGTATTAGGAACCACATCGAAAGCTCCCTGATTAAGGAAACCCAACACTGGGCCCCACTAAGAGGAAGTACCAGAACTTGTGGGGTCCATAGAGAGCTGTTGCCCTGGGCAAAAGTTCAGCCCTGCACAGGAAACCTAAAAGTTGTGAGTAATTTTGGTGTGCTTCAGAGAACAGTGGTGGGGGCACAGGGCTGAAATCTTTAGGGACCAAAGCTTAAAGGGAGGAGAGATCTACAAGAGAGGGAAAAAACAATGGGACAAGATGGCAAAGGAGACCAGAGGAGTGTGGGTTAGAACCTGGGGGAAGCTGAGGTAAAAGCAAATGAAACAGAGCTGACTTTGGGAGGCCTTCAAGGGCCCCACCCCATAGGAAATGGCTTTGGCACCCAAATTTGTCTGTCCAATAGGCCTGGAGCTCCACAGAGGCAAGGACTGCATCTTTCATGGTCCTGCGCCCAGACCCATGGTGGACAGGGCTCACTTGGGTCACCATCTCTGGAGATGCTGGCCTCAGATCCTAGAAGTCCTGCTGCCAATCTTGGACCCTGAAGTACCCAGCAACCCAGTTTATTCTTGCCTACGCAGAGCTGTCTTAGAGCAGGGGGAGTTTTCCCCAAGGGAAACCTAGCCCCATATAATGTTGAAGGACTTAAGATGTTTTTGGTTCTTCCACGACATGTGCTTTAGTGGTTGATCTGGCCCCTAATGGGAGGCCTGGGTCCACATTCTAGCCATTAAGTAGCATGTGAACCTTAAGTAGAGCTATAACTCTGTCTCCTCCCTGGTGAAGTGGAAGCAGAGAATCCAGATTCTGGTCTACACTGTACCTGCAGGGTGGATCTCTGAGCATCTGAGAGGGGGGCTCCTCATGGCATGTCTGAAGCCTTGGGGGGCTGTGAGGTGAGGTGAGGAAAATCAGACTAGGGTGGTAACCAAATCTGGACATTGTGGGGATCGAAAACTCTTTCCCTGGGGGCATCTCTAGTCCCTTGATTCATCTCTGTGACCTTTGGAAGCTGTGTAACCACAGGCCAGGTGGCAACCTCTCTGAGCCGTAGTTCTCATGTGAAAATAAGTGTGCTTCTGCACAAGATGCAAGTAATGATTAAATAATGTACCTACAGTGCTTATCAGTGTGCCAGGCACATCCGAGGAGTTTGAGAAATGGCAGCTCTCAAATCCTACTTCCTGCTCCACAGGCTCCACTTCCTTTGGCCTGTAGGTATGGATGAATCTAGGTGTAGGGGTGGACCTACACCTAGTTATTAATGGCTGACAATTCATAACCTGGACCCAGGTGAAAGGGAAGGTAGGAGAAAGACGGCTTACACAGGTCAGAGACCATTGTGGGCTCCAGAGGACAGAGACAGATAGGGGTGGTGAGTTAGAGGCAGGGGAACACACAGAATGGATGCAAGACCTCCAAAAGGAGAGATGGAGAGGCTCAGTCAGATCAAGCCACTTTTGATCTCAAGGTTGTGAGGTCGAGTCCCGTGTTGTGTATAGGATTTAAAGGGAAAGAGAGAGAGAGAAAAACAGCCGTGCAGTGATCAAAGAGGAAAGAGAACAGGGCTGAAAAGATCCTAGCCTAGCCTGAGCTGAGCTGGACAATTCTGGGACACAGGGACAGATGGACTATCTGACTTGATGACAGAAAATGCTCTGGAGACCTCAGTGGAAAGAAAGGTTTACTCCTTGTATCATGCTCTCCCCACAGACCCCCCTCAATTCTAATTGGGACAGGCAAGACCCCAGAAGCTCCAAGAGGCCACAAATCTTTTCCTAGCTCATGTTCAGCACTCCTCAGTCCATGCCCCTAAAGAATCAGCTTCGGGCAGATGGTGCATCCCTGGGCGAGCCTCATTACCCTGTCGCACTGGGCAAAGTGGCCTGAGACAGCCCTCCTCTCCCCGGTCTAACACCCACACCGCCACGGACAAGGAAGTGGTCCACAGGGTTTACCAGGGATGGGCAGTAAAACCAGAAAATGTCAGTTAAAAAACCCCATGGCATGAGATGATTGAAGAGCAGATTCCTGAACCCCCTCTGACTGTCTCCTGGGCATTCCAAGATGACCTCACGCCCCGAGGCCCTACGGCAGGCAGAGCCATGAGCCCAGGGAAGGCTGGCAGGGGAGCTGTGCCACGCGGACTGAGGGTCTGTCCGGCAGCTCAGGTCGAGCCCGGTGCATTTACAAGCAGACGGGGGCTCTAATAGGGCATTTGCCTCAGCACACTGAAGTCCCAGGCTGGCTACAGGGTGGAGTCCATCAGGGGGTGGCCGTTCTCTGGAAGCATGATGCGCGTGCTGGCCCCTGTTCGGGTGGAGGGAGCATAGCGGGCAGACTCGTGGGGCGACCGGCGAAGGCACAGACAGCAGAGGAGGCGGCGGAAGGTGCGACGCATCTCAGCGTCTCGGCACGAGTACACCACAGCGTTGACCAGTGAGTTGGCCTCTGCCAAGAGTAGGAAATACTTCTCCACGGCCAGAACGTTGCAGGACTTGCAGCCCAGACCGTCCAGGAGCAGCACCACCTGGCCTGGTGTCCAGCAGACCACGAATGCTCCTGCAGGATGGGGCCCAAGGTGAGTGGGGCTGGTTCTGGGGGCCCAGCACCCCCAGCTCTGAGCTCAGGGCCGGAGTGTCAGGCCCAAGCTTGCAGGGCCTGACACCCTTGTCTGATGTGTCTGCCAGAAAGGGATACCTTTCCTAACAGGTACACTAGACAGGGCGCTGGACCCTTCTACATGGAGATTTGTTCTTTGGGGGAAAGGAGGTCACTGTAGGACAGGCTCTCATAGGGAAGACTCACTCCTTGTTCTTGGTGGGGTAGGGAGTGTATCCACATGGGATCTACCTTGCTGCCTCCCTGACTCAGACCCCTCTCCAGCTGGACTGACCTCATCACTCCCGGCTAAGAACTCTGGAGGGCTTCCCACAGAACTTAAAACAAAATCTGACTCTTGCCTGTGCCCTTCGAGGCGGTGCTGACCTTCTCTCCTGCTTCTCTCCAGCCACACGGGCCTCCTCTCCTCTTTGGAGGCACTGGCCCGGTCCTGCAGGGCTCTCACCTTCTGTTCCCTCTGCCTGGAACTCTTCCCTTCCCCAGCATTCAGGTCTCTGCTCAGATGTCACCTCCTTGGAGAACATTCCCCACCCAAATGATCCCCTCCCGTGTCTCGTGGGAGTTGGGGTGGGGAGGGGGAGGGCAGCAGGGTTCTGGCAACCCTGGGCCAGCGGAAGGGCCCTCACTCACCCAGGATAATGACAACGGTCTTGACTAGGCTGAGTGTGGTCTCTCGGTAGCGGGGGTGGCAGCTGACGTGCTCCGCCATACGCTGCACCCTCCGCCTCACGTAGAAGAAAATGCGGGTATAGACAGCCACCATGAGCAGGAAGACAAGCAGGCTGGACAGTGCCCAGACAGCCAGGTAGGAGCGGCTGAGCAGAGGGGCCATGCGTGAGCAGCGGTCCAGGGCGCAGAGGCAGTGCCATGAGTGGGCAGGCAGCAGCCCCAGGCCCAGCGCGGCCACCCACACCCCCACGATGAGCAGGACAACGCGGCCGCGGGGCAGGCGGCTGTGCAGCTGCACGGCCATCACGCTGCGGTGCCGCTCCACGGCGATGGCTAGCAGTGTGGCCACCGAGGCCGTCAGGCTTGTGTCCAGCAGGCCCTGCCGCACGAACCAGCCCTCCAGCGAGAGCCTGGCGGTGCGAGGGCCCGTGTGAAACATGAGGAAGAGGTAGGCCACGCCTGCAAAGAGGTCGGCTGCGGCCAGGTTGCCGAGCAGGTAGTAAATGGGCTGGTGGAAGCGGCGATTGGAGGCGATAGCTGCGATCACCAGCAAGTTAGTCAGGAGCACCAGCACGCTGACGGTCAGCCCCAGGGCCACCACAACCACATCTTTGGGCCGCCAGTGGGAGCTGAGCTCCTTGCCACTGTTGTTGTAGAAAAAGCCGATGGTCTCATTGTAGTAGCACCGGCCCATGGTGGCCATCTGGGGGCACAGAGGGAGAGGTCAATGCAGGTGGCATTTGTTGGAAGGGCACAGGAAGGAGCAGCAGCCAGAGGGGAGGGTCAGGACAGGAAGGGCAAGGGTCTCAAACTCAGATGCCTCAGGGTAAAGCGGTGCTGGTGAATGATGTGGGAAACAAAGGCAGAAGAAAAATTATTAAATTTCCTTATTATCAATAGCCCACTGACAAGTTTTCGAAACAAGCAGAGTAACATTCTTCTAGGGACTCAACTGCCTTAATGTTAATACTTTGCTAAGGGCAAAAGGCAATCCTGGCCCAATCACTACCCCCCCCAACATCCTGTAAGTCTGCTTTAACATATAAAAATTCCTTTGGAAATTTCCTTTATCTCTCAACTCCCCAAGATACATGGTGGCAATCATCTTCCAAGCATATGGCCCACCAGTAGACATTGGAAGGGTCCCATGACTCAGGTTTTACTAGATGGTAATAAATGACCTTTTCTCAACAAGAGCTAGCCCTCTCAAGGTCCTGGGAACCTTGCTTCCAGAATTCCTTAGAGACTTAGGCTATCCCTAACCCCCTCCCAACTTGAGAGTATATAATGGGCCACTTATCCTCAAGACCCCAGTGCAGCTCTTTCTGCCCATGGGTCCTGTCCCAAGCTTTAATAAAACCACCTTTTGTACCAAAGATGTCTCAAGAATTCCTTCTTGGCCATCCTTCTTTCCTACATCAGGGACCAGATCCACCAGAGCGGACAGCGATGCAGCCCCAGAAGTTGGGCAGCGGGTTTGGGCGCGAGAGCTCCCGAAGCGGGCGGGGCATCTGGGCATTACGAGTGGGACAGAGGACCCTGGCGGCCTCCCAGACAAAGGGGGCGGTCAGGGAGGCGGTGGCCCGCTGGGCCTCCAGGCGCCCCTAGGCTGGCTGGAGGAGGAGCTGGGGCAGAGGGGAGGAGGGGGCGGTGCCCAGGCCCCATAGGCACGTGCCGCTCCCTCCCCGGGACCCGCGCCCATCCACCACCGTCAGTACCCGCCTCACCTGGGCCGCCTGTCACGCCGCAGACCGGACGGCCTCCCAGAGGATCGGGGTAGGCCCCAGACCCATAGCCTGGAGTCCACCGCAGGAACGGAGGAGCGTCCGGGTGCGCTGGGCGCGGGCAGCAGAGAGAGCACGGGAGGCGGGGTCCCGCCCCTGCCCCTGACTGGGCGCGGCGCCCCGCCCCCGCCACCTAGGGGAGGCCCGCCCCGTCTCCGCCACCTGAGGGAGCCCAGCCCCCGCAGCCGCGGTAAGGACAAGGTTTCCCGGAACCGCAGCACCCCCCCTCATTTCCTCCCGGCCTCTCGGTCGCCCCTCTCCACTTCCGGCGCGGGACCCCCGCCCCCGTCCTCGCCCACCTCACACGCACGCAGTTTCGAGCCTTCCGGGGGCTGAGTCACTCACTGCACCAGAATTCCCGCGGTGACCTCGGACAGCCTGGGCGAAGCTCCGGGTGGTCTCAGGGTCCGCGCCCCCGCCCGGCCCAACCCCGCCCGCTCCCTGGCATCCAATCCGTCGCCGAGTTCCAAGCCACGCCCTGATCCGACTGGGCTCCCACCGCCGGGACCCCCGCCCCGCCTCCGCTTCTGCAGCACTGAGATGCCCCGCGCTGCGGCCTGCGGTGCCCCTCGGACCTCTCCTGCCCCAGCTGACCCTCGAGCCGCACTTAAGTTTCTCGAAATCCCGCCCCCGCGCCCTCCGCCCCCGGCCCCGGTCCCGCAGCCCCCTGCCCGGCCCCGGCTTGTGCCGGCCCTGGGCTCCCACGGCCCAGAGCACACAGCTCCATTGTCCCGGTTATCTGCACTTTGTTATATTTGTTTGATTATGCAGGCCCGGATCGGGGACGTGGAGCTCCGGGAGGGCCGGGCGGGTGTGACTCAGTCTGGTGTCCTGGCCCAGCCAGTACTACCTGTAGGTGCTCAAGGATGTTTGGGAATGAAAGGGGGCCTTGGTTCCTCTGGTGGGTTAAACGGGGTCAAAGGACGTGGCCCTCACCTATCTCTCCCATCAGCCTCGCCGGGCAAAGAAAGACACTCAAGGGTATAAGGGACCCAGTTTATTCCCAGGTCATCAGACCCCGGGTACCACCAGGATGTGGAGTCTGGGCTGCCCACACCTTCCAAAAGCTGGTCACCCGAGGTCAGCTAAGGAAGTAGGCAGAAGTGGGGGACTGGCCACATCCAAAGTAGCAAAAGGCAGCCCTGTTCAGGAGTCAGACACTACGGTGGACACCAAGGATCCCAGGACTTGTATTGACCCTGAGTACTGACCCCGACTCACCTCTGAACCTGAGTGGCCCTAATGGGCAGTGACCTGTGTCTAGTCGGGGGAATCCTGGTATATTGTCCCAACAAGGGTTTTAGTCTCCCAGGCCATGTAGTCTTTCCTTACAGGAACTCTGCAGATTCCACCCCCACCCCCGCAACACCGAACACCCTCTCAGTCCTTTACTCCTCAGTCAGAATGCTGGGATGGTCAGAGATGGTCCTCGACTTCCTCAGGTTGGGGGTCTGGACAACAGGTGGCCTTGGGCACAGCTTCATTGTGTAGCTTGGACAGGAGCCGGGCTGTCTCCTGGGTGATCTCAAAATGCTTGGGCAGTGGGGTGCGGCGCAGAGGGCTGCCCTCAGGCGAGGAGGAGGTGACAGGGCCAGGTCCCCGCCTCCGCAAACTCCCTCGGGTCACTGATGCAACAGGGGTCTCTTCGCTCAATTTGGAAGCTACCTGGGCCAAGCTGGACAGCTGGTGGGTGACAGGCCGCACGCCGCCCCGGGGATATTTCACTGGCTGACGGCTGAAGTGTCCACGGGATTGTGTCCCCAGCAGTGAGTCCTCTGGACCTTGGCTGGACACTGCAGGATGGCATGGTCATTGCTGAGGACCCCTAAGTCCTCTGGATATCTCCTGGGAGTCATCTCTCAGCCAAGCCACCCCAGGCAAGAACACCCCTACAACTCCTGGGCTGCCCCCCAACATACTTACCTTCCCCTCCCTCCTCTCTGGTGTCCTCAACCATGTCTCTCTGGTCACTTTGTGGAGTTGGAATCTGTGGGAACAAACCCAAGACCAAAACCCCAACAATAAAATCCCAGTTCTTTGAGATTCTTGGAGAGCTGAGGGTTTGTTCCTGGATATGTAAAAGGTCTTTGGCAGTTTTGGTATCTGGGGTGACGATGCCCTTTATAGTAATCCTGCTTATCCCCTTATGAAGAGCAGTATTACTAATCTCAGCTATGGGCTCCACGTGGGAAGGAACACCCTCGCTCAGCAGCCAGCCAGCCCAGGGAGTGACTTAGCCATGTCCTCATGAGTAGCAGGTCACCTACCTGTCTCTGCCCTACTCTGCTCAGCAACTCTGCACACCTGCTTTTCAATGTATCTGTATATCCTTCATTTGATCCTTTAGCTAAATGCTAACAGCAGCTGGAGTTCTTTCTACATGTCTTGAGCACTTTTTGAGCCATTCCATGGCTCCGAGACCCAGCACTCACTGACAGCCCCTTTGCCAGCTCTGGGCCACTGTGCGGGGGAGGTACAGGCTCTCGGGAATGTTGTGTGTAGCAGGATCTGAGGGACAGGGAAGCCACCAGTAGGAGTCTCATCTGTAAATGGTTTTCACTAACAGTATCTACCTCTCAGGGCTGTGGTAATGATAATAGGAGGCCTATAAAATGCCCATACATAGTAGGTGCGTGGTGCATGGCATTCCACAGACCCCTCTTTGGCCTCACTTTCTACCACCTTCTCTTCACTAATTCATTACAGCTTGGGGCTGCACCTTAAGCACATCAGGCATGCTCTCACCTCAGGGCCTTTGCACTGACTGTTCCCTTCGGAACCCGCTTCCCCAGATCTCCACCTGGCTCAATCCTCCCCCACATCTTTCCAGTCTTTGCTCAAATCTACCTTTTCCAGGAGACCTGGCCACAGCATCCTATTTACTGCTACACACTGCTCTCCACCTCTCCTTGGTGCCCCTCCATGTCTCTTACCTTGCACTACCCTTTCTTTTCTTCTCCATAGTACTTGTCACCTTGTAATGTCCTACGAACTGACATTATACCATATTTCTTATTTGTTGTTGGTTTCTTTCCCAGTAGAATGCAGTCACCAAAAGGATGGGGTCTCTGAATAATTTACTCACTGCTGTATTTGTAATGCCTGCTACAACAGTGCTTGGTACATAGTATATGTTCAAGAAATATTCTGTTGCAGGAATAAATGATCACCTATGTTAGTAACTCTGCAGAGCTATACCCTGTCATTCCTCCATTATTACTTCCATTGTTATCACCTACCACTCCATTCCTCACTTTTAGGGAGAGAGGGAATGAAAGAGAAAAGTTTAAAGGCAAAGTGATGGAAGGAAGATGGGAGAGAGAGAAGATTAAATGGAAAGAAGGCCCTCCCCATGTCTGTGGGCCCAGTGGGTTCCTACCTCAGGAGGTGTGGCCTCAGGATGTTTCTCCAAGGTACCGTGGGGCTCAGGGTCTGGGTCGGGGTCTGATGCTAGGACTGGGGGCAGGGGATCTGGAGCAAGGTCAGAGGGTGGTGGCTGGGGGTTGTTGTTTAGGAGAGGTCCAGGGGCTGGACTGGGGTCTTGGGGCAGGGGCTCAGTGGCCACGGGGAGGTCGTCCATCCCAAAGATTTGCTCGTAGTATACAATGAGGAACTCGACGAGCTGGGCCTGGTGCCCAGAGTCTAGTAGGCAGGTGACAGGGCCGGCACCAGCTGTCCTGGGACCATCCGGTGGCCGCAGCAGTGTTGGGCCAAACACAATGCCCAGGTTGTTGGCAGACATCTTGTTTTCCTCAAACTGTGCAGCCACCCTGGGGATGGTATGAGGAAAAAGATCAGAGCACAGAATATGTGGTCACTGGCTGTCAGAGAGGAGCTGTAGGCCAGGCTCATGGCAACCCGCCCCAGTCATGGCTGTCTCCCAGTCATTGTTTGAGACCAGCAGCTACCTGCCTGGCAGTGGAGTTTGGGGTCGGCACCCAAAGTCTAGAGTCACGTATTAAAATTCAGAGCTCAGAAAACACATGCAAAGATCAGAAGTCAGCATCAGGGATCAGTCCCAGAGGTCAGTAGTTATGTCCACGGACGGGGTCACAGATCCGTGCCTTGGGTCAGAAGTCACATTTCAAGGTCGGGGACAGTGCACACCTGAACAGATGGGCCACCAGGTGCCGCAGGGTGCTGTAGTTAGAGTCAGGCAGCTGCACCAAGAGGGTCTTCAGCGAGCGGATAACCTCAGGGCTGGGGCTGGGGGTCCCAGGGTCGTGCCCCGGGTCTGCATGCAGGGTCTTAGCCAGAGAGATGAAGGCGTCGTAGAGGTGGAAGGGGACCACGGGGTCAGTGAGCTGGGGGTGGAATGGCGGGAGGGACATGGGTGTGGGTGGGCTGCAGAGGGTCCTCAGCCTGAGCCCGCCCAGCCCCTACCCCCGAGCCGCTGAGTACCCACCTCCTGGAGGAATCTCTTGAGAACACTCGAGACATCATGAGGCGAGTTTCCTGACATGTCCACCAATGCTCGACCATTCTCAAAAGCCTGGCACAGCCGCTCCACGCGGACCCGGGACCCACTGACCCGGTAAATGCCCTGTAGGGCAGGGGTAGGAGACAAACATCCAGCTTACCAACTGGCCGTCAGGAGTGCCGGGTCACTACTGGGGGTGGTCAAGAATCAGGGCAGCACCTGCACACCCAGGGCACGCTGTTCTATCTCGGCTGTGCACTTGGTGATCACAAAGGGCACCTCCTCCGGGAAGTCCCTGGGCAGCTGCAGGAAGTCAACCCCAAAGAGGGGGGTCCGGGCTGGGAGCCGCCTATGTCCACAGAGGATCAGTAGAGTCTCCAGGCAGCGCTTGTGGCAGGTCAGAAAGCACTGAAGGGAATGTCATAGGGTTGGGAGGACAGCAGGGATCAGCAGGGGCAGGGAGGTCATAGGGATCCTCTGGGAGTGGGGGAGACTCATAGGAAATCCTTATATCAGGGCATGTCCTAATGGCAAAAGGGGCATAGGGATTTCAGGTCAGGGAAGTGCCTGGGGTCAGGGAGGTCACTGGGGGTCAGAAGAGGTCATTGGTTGATGGGCCCAGGCCACACCTCCTCGCACTCAGTCCCGCTGACCATGAAGGCGTCACACTCGCGGCACTTGGCTGGGCCCCGGAGCCGCCGCAGCCGGTGGGTCTGGGCCGCATTGGACAGCGTCCACTTCCTGAAGGGGCTTCCTAGGCCGTTCTCCAGCCCATCTACCAGGTCTGCGGGGACAGAGGGTCAGGGGTGTCTGGTCCACCGCCCACCCCTCACCACACCCGATTTGCTTCCAGCCTTACCAGGGTCTCGCTCTTCAAAGTCATCTGAGGACTCGGTGCCTATGGATGAGACCTTCACCAACCGCCTTGTGCCAGAGCCTAGAGTCAGAGGGTCACAGAGGTCGGGGGTCACAGGGGTCGTGGGGAAGCTCCAGGGCTAAGGAGATATTCCTGGTTTTTAGGCTTTCCAGAACCACCCACAGATGCCCTTGGGGAAAGGGTCAGAGGTCAGGAGGAAGGTCAGGTCAGTGACTGGGGGTTGGAGAACAGGTCAGCAATCTGGGGGGTGGTTCAGAAGCTGGCTCAAGAGAATGGATCAGAGGGTGAGGAAAATAGGTCAGGGATGCAGGTAAGTCAAAGGTCAAGTGAGAGGTTAGAGATGGAGAGTCAGAGTCTGGTCGGGGACTGGGGACTGGGGACTGGAGGAGGGTTAGGGCCAGCTCCTAGCCCCACCTGGGCTGGAAGTCGGAGAGTCCAGGGACCGGGACTCGCTGCCACCACCCACACTGTCCGCATCGCCACCGGGAGTCCGGCCTGGAGTTCCTAGGAGGGAATAGGTCAATTAGGATGGACCCCTGCCCCGGCACCACTCGTGCCTCCCTCTCACTGTGCTCACCCTGCCAGCCTGTGCCTGCATCTTCCCAGGGGCCTGCCTCCGAGGCACTTTCATCCAGCCGTGGTGGTGGGGGGCAGGAGAGCTTCTTTCTTGTGTCCAGAGGAGAGCTGAAAGGAGAGGTTTGAGGGCGCTGGTGACCAGGAAACTGCCCTGAGATGACAACACCTGTGCATTGCGTCTAGGAGGACCCAACTCGAAGCACTTGTGTCTGGAAGCCTTGACACCAGTGAGCACCCAGTTCAGTGACCCTAAAGTTCAGCCTCTCCCAGAACTGGAATACCCACCCCCAAAAGCGCTTTGGCAACCAAATCCAAGAACTGAGGCTTTGAGTTTTCTGACCCCCAAGTACTCAACCTGTGGTGCCAACAGCCTGCAAATGTCTCTGGGGCTCATTCCTGACCCTGTTCCCCGAGGGAGGCCCACCTGTGCGCAGCGGGTACAAACTCCTGGAAGGAGAAAGCCGGCGGAGGGGGTGGCGGGGCCTCGGGCTGCAGCACCCTCACGAACTCCTGGTAGCGCTGGCCGGGCTCGAAGGGCTCGCAGCACTCGGCCAGGGCAGAGAAGGCGCGGGGTCCCCGCTCTGCCTGCGCCCCTCGGAGCCTGAACAGTCCCAGGGTCACCTGCAGCAGGGCGGGGCGGGGCGGGGGGGGGGGAGCGGGGCAGTGGAGGGGAGGACCAACTGCAGTCAGAGGGGGCGGAGCCTGACCTTTAGAGTCGCCCTTGCGGCCAGGGTTTGGGGGCGGGGCGAGCAATGAGTAGCAGCTGGGGGATCCTGGTCAGAGCCTGACCTGGAGGAGGGGGAAGAGGGAGACAGGACCCCATGCGGGTGGCGCCGAGGCTGACGTGTGGTCAGGGACTGAGGGTGGAAACTGGCCGCCTCGGGATAAGGAGTCCTAGGCCCTGGGGATGGGTTAGGGGCAGAGGGCCTTCAACTGGGGCCAAAGGAGAATGTGGGGTGGCAGTGGTAAAGGGTCTCACCCGCCTCAGCACTTCGTCCCCCTGCAGCACCAGCTTGCGCACGTGCGACACGATCCGCTGTTTGGCGGCCTCTAGGTCTTGCTGCCGCGCGTTGGCCTCGCGGACGCACATCTGGTACAGCGCCATGGCCTCCTGCACCTGGGGAGACCAGGCCAGGGCACATGTGGGACAGAGTGTGGGGCGGGGTGAGCTGCAGCTCTGGCGGGGCATGGGGCTAGGTCCCCACCTTGGCCTGGGCCTCCTCTCGAGATCGCCGCCGCCGCTCCTGCTGTTTGCTGGGCCCTGGGGAGGCCTGGGGTGCCGGGTCCTCGGGGGACGCCTGGGAGCGAACCCACAGGTCCTCGCTGCGCTGTACATACTGGAGCTGGGCCCTCCGCAGCGCCTGCACTGCATCATTCTGGGGCCGTGGGGGTGGGGGCAGGGACAGAAGGGGACCCATCAGCACCTCTTCCTCTACTCTGTCAGCCCAGCAGGTGTGCACCCACCCACCCTGCCAAGGCCTCACCATCCGCTTCTGCTCTTTCGTCCACTGCTCCTTAAACTCTTTCCGCCACTTCTCAATCTCATTTCGTTTTGCCGCCAGGGGCTGGCAAGGAGGACAGATGTGGGGGGGGCTGCCTCAGGGCCATGCCCGGTCTTTCTGCTCCCCTCTACCACGTGCCTTTCATCCTCTGGACCCTCTTGGGGGTCTGCACTCTCCCCCACCCTCCAGCTCTCCACCTCATCCTTTCTAAAGCCTGGACCCAGAGATGCCAAAGCTCTCTTCCTGGGAACACTCAACGCTTTGCCCCATCCCCCCTCACCACCACCCCTAAACCCTGCAAAGGAACAGAAGCAGTTTTGCAATTGCACAGGAAGCCTGGTTTGAATCTCTGCTGGGTAACCTTGGGCAAGTTCCTCAGCATCCCTGGGCCTCAGCTTCCTCATCAGCAAAATGGCACTGATGCTAAGTGCCTTCCCCCTGGGGAGGTGTGAATGGGATAGTTAGGGCAGCAGGGCCCCCTCACCTGGTAGTAATCTCTTTTCTGCTGGGCCACTGTTTCCATGGCCAGAGCTCCCAGGCTGAGGTCGTGTTCCAGAAACAGGGTGTAGATGTACTGCAGTGGCATGTGGTTCTGAGGGGGTGGGGAGAGGGTTGGCATTGGAGGATGCTGAGGATCTAGGGGGTCAGGGCTGGGGTTCTGGAGGGCTCAGACCCCGGGGCAGGGGTCTGGTCATGGCTACCTGCTGGTGGATTGACACCTTGCCAGCCTCGGCGATCTTCATGATGCTTTTGGCAAACTCCAGCTCTGGGGGGAGACAGCAGGGGTCTGAGTTGGGCAGGATGTGGGCACTGCCTGGGGCCTGGGGTCGGGCAGAAGGGGCCCTCACCAAGGCTGGCTCTCTTCTCTGTCCAGGCCAGCAGCTCCTTGGCATAGCGGCTCCAGGTCTTGGCATACTCCAGAGCTGCATCCACGCCGCCCGTGGTCCGAATGAGCCGCAAGTCCAGCTCCTCCCCTGGGGCAGGAGGTTGGACTTCTGACCTCTGAACCCTGACCTGTGGCAGCTTTCCCTGAGCCCCAAGACTGACCAGACCAGTGACCCCTATTCTACACCCTATGGCTCCCCAAAACAGCCCTTTATGATCTTGTCCAGTTGCAATTTTATACCTTTTCTCCACCGAGCCTGGGGCTCCCTGAGGGCAGGGGCTCAGCTCTGTTGTGTATACTGCCGTGTCCCTGGTGTGTGGAACAGGCAGGGGCTGATGACTAGCTGAAGGAAGGACTCCTTTCTGCCCCCCACTTCCCCAACCTCAAAGTCCCCTACCTGTAAGGGGCGCCGGACCCTCCGTGGAGGGGCGACTCCAAAGGCTGGTTTCACTGGTCTGAGGGGGAGGGAGACAGCATTCAGGAGCAAGCGGGGGAGGGGCTTCAACCCCCTAGAGCCCCTCCCCCTGGAGACCCCCTCCTCCCTGCCTCCTTGGTCCCACCCTTCACCTCATTGGCTGTGGGGGTCTTGTCAGACTCTGGGTCTCCTGAGAGCACGGGGTCTCCAGGCAGCATCTCAAGGGTCCTGGGAGGTAAGGGCGTCAGGATGCCACCCTCCACCCGGTGGGAATTGCTTAGGGGTTGTTGGGGGGCCCCCAGAGCAGTGTGAGTGATGGTCCTGGATTTCACCTCTGGGACATCTCTTGTATCTGGGAGGTCTGAGTGGTTCTGGGTGGGGGGATTAAATGAGTTTGTTTTCTTTCCTTTTTTTTTCTAAATGGGACTTGAGTTTGAAAGGTCCCGGGTGAATCTGGGGTCCACAGAGTGGGATTATAAGGATCTCAAATGTTTTAAGTGGTCACAAGGATATATGGGGTTCCTAGAACCATTTTGGGAATTTCCAGTGGATATGGGGGTTGAATTTTGGGATTTTCCAGGTGTTTTGGAAGGACCCATCTTAGACTTCTCTGGTTGTTAGGTAAGTGGATCCAGATGTTATAGGTTCCTAATGCACCTAAATGGTTAGGGATTTGGGGCTGGCCCAGGCTCAGACTCACACGTTCCCCAGGGAGATCTCGAGGTTATCCAGGCTCCGGAAGATGTCACTGTACCTCTTCCTGCTCTCTGGAGCCGGGGGTAGCCCTGGGGGAGGGGAGTGTCATACATGGGCCAATCAAAGCCTCCCTCCACCCACGGAGGCCCCGACACCATGGCTCTTAGCCAGCTGTTTGGAGGCTGGGAAGAGAGAGACAGAGAGTGTTCTGGACCTGTAGAGAGCCTGGGATGGGGGCTGATGTCAGAGTCAGGACTGAGGCAGTGTTGCCTGAGGTGAAGCCAACTCAGGGCAGGCAGATGGACTCCGGCACAACCCAGCACTGGGACAGCTGCTTGGAGGAACAGAGACACCCACACACACATGGGCCCAGAAGCAAAGAGACAAAACAGATGCCCCAGATGCAGCCACACTGTCCCTGGGGAGAGAGCCAGCTTGACAATGGAACCACATGGACCTCAGGCCAGACAGATGGAAATACACGTGGGAGAGATCGGCACAGAGCCTGTGGCACAAACGCATATGGGCAGACTGAAACCAGAGGAACATAAAGACCGAATGACACTAGACATGCACAGCAGAGACACAAAGACAGCCGGAAATACAAGTCAGACCTTGCCACACTTCTGCCACAGCCCCCCTTCTGTGGACTCCAGATCAGCAATGCCCCCTCCCCTGATTATGGAGGAGCCGGGTGGAGATTCTGCCGCGTCGGCCTCTCCATCAGCGGTCGTGACACCCTGCCCCCATCACAAATATCAGAAGCAGAAGCGGCCACTTCCCCTTCCTGGGCCCCCTCCCCCAGGCATCCGGGGTGAAGACTCCAAAGGGGGAGGGGGTCAGGGAATGATGTTCTGGGCCCCTCTCGGCTTGGGGGTCCCCACAGTGGAGGATGCTGGCGTCCCTCCCATTTGGGACTCCTTTCCCCGTTCTCTGGACAGAAAGGGCAGGCGAGACCACTCAGTTTAGGAAGTGGGGTACGGTTGGGGGAGGTCCCTCTCGCATCCCATATCCCGGACCGCCTACCCGGCTCTGCTGCGTCCATGGCCCGGCCCGAGGATCTCTCGGCGGGGTCCGGGACTGGGGCGGGATCTCGCGCCGGCGGGGCTCTGCCCCGATTTCCTGCCGCGGCCGCCGCCGCCGCCGCCGCCGCCGCCGCCGCCTCCACCTCCACCGCCACCGCCACCGCCACCCGGGTTCCGCGTAGCCCCGCCCAGCGGAGCTACGCCCCGCGACCGAATACGCCCCTGCTCCGTAGAGGCACCGCCCCCAGCTACACCTCCGCCGATTGGCCACGCCCCAGAGGCCCGGAAGCGCGTACCGCGCGCCCTGCCCAGACAAGGGAGATGCTGTGGGGCCAGAGATTCCAGTGTGATCATCCCAGACCTGGACACCCCATGGCTCCATCCCCGCCAAATCTTTGCGCGGCTCCAAAGCCCCAGCACACTCATGTCCGGGGCGCCTATCCCTGTATCTTCTATCCTCCGCGACGGACCGACTTCCCTGCCCAGGCGCTTCTTGCATCCTGAACCCATACTGGCTCCACTGAGTCCATGGTGCCCCCTGGTGGAGAGACCTGATGGCAGGCCTTATTCCAGTGGGATCTTAAGTTCCCCCAGTGCTCTAGGGCAACCCCAGTGACCTTGGAAACTGGATCAGACTCTTGAAGACCCTCATTACAGTACAGTCAGAAGTGCCCCCTCGCACCTCTCTCAGGAACGGGGGTCACAGATCTCCACCCTGAGCACCCCAAGAATCATTCCCAGCAAACAAATCTCAAGTTCAGAGTTCTTGCCTCCCAGTTGGCTCAAATTGTCTCAGGGATTCCAAGTGATCACAATAGTCCCTCTGCCTGGTGGGTTCCAGCACCCTTACATTTCCATACACCTTGGTCTGTGCTCACGGCCCATGTGATGCTCACAGTCATTCACTGATGGTCCCTGCCCTTTTCCTGCTTTGGAACCCAGGGCTTTCCATGGGATATGGGTTACAGTCCTCCTGATAGGGAAGCTGGACAGGGACAGACTGCTGAGGATGACCAAGGAGTGAAGATGGGAAAGGGTGGTGAGCCCCTCAGGGTGAGGGGGTGAGGGTGGTGAGGCAGAGTTTGTCTTCAAGCCCGGGCCTGGATACCAGGCCTCATATTCTCACACGCAGCTTGTCCAAGTCATAAAAATGCATCCATACCCCTAGTGGAACTCCTAGTTTGAAATAAAGACAGATTTACTGGGTACCCGGTTAATTACTCAGTTAAGCATCCGCCTTCAGTTCAAGTCATGATCCCGGTGTCCTAGGATTGAGGCCCACTTCAGGCTCTCCTTCTCCCACCCATACTCCTACCCCTACCCACCATCTCTCTCTAAATAAATAAATAATAAATAGAAATAGGTTTATAACTTGACTTTCTAAAGTTCTTAGCTGTTGAGAAGGCAGGACATCTCCCACAGCCATGACTCTGCTTTCATGCTGCCTACTTCACAATTCCTGAGTTGCAATGAGTGCGCACCCTCTGAAAGGAAGGATGGTGTCGGTACAAGGGCGGAGCCGGGCTGCAAAGCTGGGCTGACAGATGATGAATGGCGCCCTCGGGGCAAGCGTGACCAGAGGTAGTAGCATCTGCAACAATTTGAACTGAACTTCCTCTCGACACGTGAGAGGAAGGAGTGCTGTTATTTCACATATTACTGAAGAGAAGAAAATGCCACTGATCCTAAAACTTTCCACCAGTGCCTAAGAGAAGAGAAGGTGAAGCTGAAACACCACAGACGAAGGGAGGCGCTTGTCAAATTAGGAAATACCACAACCCTCTGGGGTTGGAGCTCAGCCCATCTAAGCACTGAATATCCGGATGGCAGGGGTTGTTGTTAATGACCTCGTGGCTCCCAGGGAGGGGGCCAGGACCGCAACCCCTCCAGTAGTGCAGACACAGGTGGAGGCAGGGCTTCTTAAAATGGTGGATGCGGCTTTATTTACCAAAGGGGCTGGCTCAGGGCTGATTCTGCCAGCCAGGCCTTCAGGTGGCTGTGGGGCGGTCCCAGCTCTGGTCGGTCCTGGTGGCAAGGCTGGGCCCACCTCTCCATGGGGGCAGTGTTCCCTCTTGGGGCTCCTGCCCGGCGGCACTAACACAGGCAGCAAGTGCCAGCACTGCCATCTCAGGAAGGCACTTTCAGCTTCGGGGTCCCCAGGAAGAACTGCAGGACACGGTCGGCCAGGAGCGCCAGGCAGAAGTCCAGAAGCAGGACCTGGGCGATGACCAGCTTGAACTGCAGGGTAAAGAGCACGAGTGAGCTGGGTGCCCGAGGACAGGCCCAGGTTGAGCCCTGGGGCCACACCCACGGGGCCACTCACCTCCACGGGGATGTCCACGAGGCCAAACTGACTGTTGAAGTCAGGCGAGGAGCCAAGCAGCAGGCCCACGATTGCCAGGAGCGACACGGCCAGGCTCCACACTAGGGGCCTGTTCTCCGGCAGGCTCTCCATGAACGGTGGACCCTGTGGGGAAAGACAGATGGACAGTCATGTGCTATAGGCACCCAAAAGTGGGCAGGGCGAACTCGCCAGGGGCGGAGCCTCACTTTGTAGTTGATGGCAAAGGTGGCCATCTGCATGGCCATAGCCATGATGTACACGGTGCTGTTGACCAGGCTCGGTTCAAACTCCTTGTACAGGTCCACAAACTGCTCCTGCCTGCAGCGACACAGAGGGGACAGGGTCACTCTCTTGACCCGCACTATCCCTGCACAAAGCCAGGTCTCAGCCTGGCCGACCCCTCCGGTCAGGCCACATCTGCGTGCTCACCTTCCTGTACCCACCACCATCGGGACACTGCCACCCCTAGGAGCACCCTGCCCCACCCCAAGCCCCGGGCCAGGACAGCACTCACTTCTCAGGACTCCGGGCCTGGGCCTCGCTGTACAGGTAGACAAGACTCAGGAAGTGCACACAGAACTGGAGCACGACCGTGAGGACAGTGTACAGGTTGAAGATGTTGGGCAGAGGCCGCTCTCGGGAGAGAGTCTTGAGGGGCTGCAGTGGCAGGGTGGGGGCGGCTCAGGGTCCAGGCTCACCCTAGGCCTACCCACCTGCCACTCCCAGCCTCCTAGCCAGACTCATGTAGAGAGCAGTCACCAAATCCTGGAGGTTACAAGTCAGCACCAGACCCCAGCGCCCTGCTGGTTCCCCAGCCCCTTAGCCGGGATCCCACCACACCCTCACTGAAGACCTACACTCCACATAGCAGCCACAGGATGCTTAAAATCCACCCCCCTCCCCTTGTTCTAGAACAAACCAAAGCCCTCCCTGGGACCCAGTGGGTGTTCATGGTTGACACAACCCACCTCCCACCTCTTCCAGCCCCTGCATGCTTCTTGCATCAGCCCACACCTATCTATGCCCTTTCTGCCTCCTTCCTAGAAATTTACCTAGCTCTTCGGGCATCACAAAGGCTCCCCTGAATGATCCCGAGGCTGTCCCCTGTAGCCTGTGACCCACTTTGTATTTCCACTGACACTGAATGCTTTCTGAGTGGTCTTGATAATCATCTCCCCATCTGTCCTATCTGCCTGTAGGCTCTGTGTAGCCCACCTGAGGCCCCAGCTGGTGGATGGACAGTGCTGGGGGCCAAGTCGTGTCATTCTGGGGAGCTTCGGAGTGCACCTGGCCTGTCCCCTGATCCCCATCTGTAACATGCAGGATTATAATTCCCACCCTGAGGACGGCTGGGAAGACAAACGGGTGACACGTGGTGGTGCCTTTAACCGTCTTCCCTAGCCGGCCCAAAGAGGCAGAGGGTATTCTTGGTCTGGGGAGGGAACCCCTGCTTTGCCTGTGCCTCAGCCCACCTTGGAGCGGGAGATGAAGAGGAAGCAGCCGGCCAGCAGCAGCCCCTGCAGCGTGGCCTGGAAGTCACTGAACTTGACGCCCTCCAGGTAGAGAACACTCTGGCTATAGGCCAAGATGAGGGCATTGAGTGCCAGGATCTTGAACATCTGCAGCGTGGTCACCAGTGTGCAGCGGCCCTGCTTGATCACGTGGCAGACTGCAGCGGGGGCACGGGAGGGGAGGAAGGTGTGGGCGTGGGGGCGCATCAGGATGGGCCTAGGGGAGGGACCGGGGTGGGGGGACTCACTGCACTGGATAGAGGAGAGTTTGGAGGTGAAAGGGGCAGCGATGCTGGCATCCCCCAGCTTCACGATGGGCGTGCTCTCATCCTCGAGTTCCCGCAGCACCTGGCTCAGGCGGTCCTGTGGCACAGGCAGCGGGGGTGAGACCTGGCCACCAAAGGGGGCCAGTAACCCCCACCTCCTGTGACTCACCCGCTGAGAGGCCAACTGCTCCTCGGGGGGCGGGAGCCCTGACCTCTGCTTGGCTGCCCTGGAGGGGGCCCGGCCGCCGCTGCTGCTGAGGACAGGACTGTCTCGGGGCCGTCGGCGCCGCTCAACAACTCGCTCAGGGGCGTTGGCAAGGAGCGCCACACCTGGGGAGGTATGTGAGTGTGTCTGGACCTAGAGGGGCCTGTCACCCCAGGCTTGCTGGCCCTGTGCTGAGTGAGATGTCTGCTCACAGGAGCCAAACCTCCCCATCGCAGCTGATCTCCCCACAGAGTGCCTCAGAGAGCATCTACCTTACTTTCTGCATTTGGAAAGCAAAACCCAAATACACCCAACTGATTTCCAGGGCCGTCTGGATGGCTCAGTGGGGTAAGCCTCTGTTTTCGGCTCAGGTCATGATCTCAGGGTCCTGGGATTGAGCCCTGTACTGGGCTCCTTGCTCACCAGGGTGTCTGCTTCTCCTCCCTCTGCTTGCCGCTCCCCCTGCTTGTGCGCGCGCTCACGCTCTCTCTCTCTCTCTCTCACACACGCACATGCACGCTGATTTCCATGGTCTACTGCCAAGGATCATATTCTAGGACGTATTTGTCAATT